TTTACCTGAAAAGTTTGAACAAATGATTGCGAAGAAGTTTCTCCCTATTTAATTAGTGTAAGTGCTTCACTATTACGAGACTAACCAGTTCGTTTTGCTTAGGAACTAATTTTGTCCAAATGAGGATAAGTACTTGATATGTATAGGCTATTAAAACAATTAAGAGAAGTAATCACTCATAAATTTACTAACTTAAGTTGATTTACTACCCTCCCACTACAGATGAGACAGGAACTATATAAACAGACATTGATAATTACTATATGGCTTGATAAAAATGGGACAGGAAATAAATAAATAAATACACACAGATAACACTGGTCAACAAAAATGCTTTTGAAATGGTGTCGAGACACCAAACATTTTTTCAGCTAATTTGAGGACGTTAAATCTGAAAATGACCTTACTTTTTTCTTGGTTAGCTAACGTTTTTGTCACATTTTTGGAAAAAAAAAAGTATTTTTTCGTTTGTTTTCTGTATATATGACATTGGCCAATGGCAATATTTCTCAAAGTAAAATCGTAGAGACCTCTCAATTAGTATTTCTGGTTAATCACACCAAAAATACAAAAAGTAATGAGAAAACTATATATGCCATAATATCATTAACAAATGCATCAGTAGCAAGACATTCACGAAGTGTTTTTATTGCCGGCATCGGTCTGCAGAACAGCGAGGTTTTATCACTGAGCAAAGCAGACCTTGTACATACGTTCACACAAATATCTGCTACAGCAAAGCACAAACTGGAAACCCCAACACATTCGAAAAACAACTTCAAAACAGAGGGAGATTTCAAAATAGCGGGATGATTTTAAAACAGTGGGAGATTTCAAATTAACGACACAAACGCCACTTTGGTGATTTCATATCAGGGTATGATAAATGTTTCTAATCCGTCCTAGAGGATAGAGCTTATGGTGAAACCATTTTCTTGATGTTCATCATGTACAATGGGATAGGTGCATTCAATTGGGATGTCTTTAGTTGGAGCTTCTTTCCAACTGCGAAAATAAAAGCTCTCAATGTATTTGTTTTCTTCCCGTAGTGAAGGGATAAAAGTAATGGGTTAAATTTTTGAATATCAAACAGAAGATTTTAGGGTTTCATTTTTTTGATGTCACCTTAATTATCAGGTTTACTAAAGTAAAGATAAAGTTTATCAGTTAATTTGAATTTTGGCGATAAATTGGAAAAATACGGTATTTATATTTTAAAATTTTTGACTCAGAAACATTTTTTTTTATGGAAATAGTTTATTTCAGGTGACTAATAAAGTGCTCGGCCTACCTGAAAATTGGTGGGTTTCTACGACCTTAATTAACTAAATTTTGCGATCAGCCAAGATAGTAAATTGATTATTTTTTTTTCGAAAAATGAGCAATTTCAGTAGAGTAAAAGTGGTAGCTAACCATGAAAAACTAAGGTTATTTTCGGAATCAGCACCATCAAATTAGCTTAAAAAATGTGTTTTGTTTCTTGGCACCCAAAATCATGTTAAACAGTGTAATTATTATATGGTTCGATAGACGGAATAGTCTCGGTGGGGATTTGAACTCAATTCGCTGGCTCTATTTTTTGAGCATATAACCGTTACCATACGCACGAATTCGATTAAATATGTCTGAATCGACGTTATATAATGTTATACAGTTTGGAAATTATTGGAAATTTGGGGGTGGGGTGTAGTCAAAAAATCTAATGCAATCATCTAAAGAGGCGGAGTCAGGTTCGATGTAAAAAGGTAGGTTGAGTCTTTGAGAACACCATCGTTAATATAATCAAATACTGGAATTAGTTTACAGCCGCAATCTTCATTGTCAGCATATTCTTTCTTACAATATAATGTTATCTAACACCTGATCAGTATTCGTTTTCCTGAGTCAAAAAATTATTTTGCCTATTCAAATCCAGAAAGGTTAATACTGAAAAACCTAATACAAAATATCAATAAATATACTCCATATCGTGTGTAGAGAATAATAATAAAAATGGTTTTATTTCAGTGTCGGTATTCACTTTAATCCAATGGCCATGCATAGAGAAAATTCTGTGAGAAATTTTTTTCTGGCATTATTTGAATAGTTGATCATGTACATAATAGCTTAATATGGTTATCTCATTAGAAATAAATCGTGAAAAAAAAAAAGAAGAAAAGATGATTCACACTGGATATCTGTAAGTATAGGCGCCCCAGCGAGTATATATTTGTAGAGTTGATACAAATGTTTCCAGTATCAATATTAAGGAAATCTTAGAAGTGTGAGAACACATTTAAATATTTTTTTTTTTTGTAAAATTGATTTCTTTCATTATCCGGTGAAATGCATATATGGAAATATGAACTGCATATTCGACATTGTTTGTTTTTTCATATGTAACCTTGGAAAAGTGCATTGGATAGTAATGTGATGTAAGCGAGGTATGGCGTGTATTTTATATACAGTTAAAGATGCAGACTTTCAAGTTATATTTTTATTCATATTGTTATATAAGAATAAAATGTCGCTTCCGATACTTGAGTTTGAACATAGATCGGCTGTGTTTGCTCACTGGCAATCCCATTTTTGAATTAAGAAAACCACGTGACCATAGAGGAAACGCATAAGTAGGAGGTTGCGTGACGTCTAATTGATCGCTATTTCTAGTCTATCCTCTATACTAGACAGATCACCATTATTACTCTATCCTCTATTACTATACGGACCACTATTCTATACTATATTCCCTATACTATTTGTCTATACGTAGTACTGTTCGAGCGAGTATTATCGAGGAAGTACTATTAGTTCGAGTGCTATTCGAAGGCGTCTGATGCCAGCATTGTTCAACAGCGTTACTATAGTTGTATCTGCAAGTACAAAGTCTCTACTACAACGAGCATTACGGTATTCGCTGACATTACAAAAGTGTCAAACAAGTGTTCGTTGATATCACAATTCAGGCCGGTAAATGTTATTTAATACTGTTTATTATAAACAGAGCATTTACTTAAATACTTGTATCTATAAAAAAGAACGTTAAACATAAAAATGTCTTTAATAAATAAATTGTCGGACTTTGTCCATTTCTTAATATATGACGTCATATATATATATATATATATATATATATATATATATATATATATATATATATATATATATATATATATACAGCCGATAAGAAAGATTCAATTAAATATTATTAAGTTTTTTCCAGCACCCAAACGCTTTTTTCCGATTTGTAGGAATTAAGGTATATAATTTTGTCCCTAATTTTTATCGTCCCAAGCGCTTTCGTTCACATCTATAGCCATTTTCAATGGTGTTTTGTCTCTTGCTTTGTTTTTTCTTGCTTTGTTATTTTTTCTCATGTTTTGACTGTTAGGTTTGAAACTATATTTGTGTTGTTATTTTTTAAAAGAATGCGTTCTTTCCAAGCTCTCACGAGACTCTATATATCAAATGATTTTCTCAAAGCATTAACCTTACACGATTTAATAGTGGAAATGGGGTGTTGAAAGTTTTTAAAAATAAAAAGAAGGAAGATAGGCATGCAAATTGATGGCCAATAACACGTATGTAAATTATCAATGAATTTAAAGATGCCTTTTTACAATAATTAAAAATAATATAAAATAACTCTAAAGCTGCATAAGTTCATCAGAAATTTTCTTTGATGTGAAAGCGACTTTGATGTTTCGTTTAATTCTCGTCTGGTGGTTGTCAAATATCTTCTGCGTTGTTTTTCTTTCTGGACCGCGGGACCCTAGTTTCCTGCACCAGCTGTTCGTCGACTCCATTAATTAAGTCCAAGTCCCACTTTAAATAACGTACAGGTAGGCTCCGAATACACTTTTCGGAATTTGGGGGGAAAATGCTTTTATTTGTTTTGGATGAAAAGAAAAAAAATACAGCTGTTTTCTCACAAATTGAAATATACCAAAATATTTTCGAAATTCAAAACTTAAGAACCCAATGCAGCGCTTACTTTCTCTGTGAAAAGCAGCTTAAATTTCTTCTACTAACAAATGATTCAATATAATCACTTTGTTACATGTCAGTGAAAATGGTGAGCCCAAGAAGAAGCAAAGTGTTATTCTTCTGGAGGTTAGCATCAGCCTTGTTGTTGGCAGTCAGAAAGCGTACTCTATGCTGATTAAATGAAAGCAATTACTTGGCATCACTTAATCACTGATAAAGCAGTACCACTTTTACTTTGTCAAATAGGTGAGGTTTGCCACTGAGGGAAATAATTGGGCAAATAGCAATTACATTTTTCACTTACAAGATACATTTGTCTTTTTTATATTTGATGAGTGCTTAAAGATCCATTTGCAGTTTGTAGTTCATAATGATCTATCTATCTATCTATCTATCTATCTATCTATCTATCTATCTATCTATCTATCTATCTATGTCTGTTCATATCTATCTATCTATCTGTCTATCTATCTATCTTCATCTCTATCAATATCTATAAAATAACACATAATTAGTAACACCTTTTTTCAGTCTGTTCATTATCTATCTATCTATCTATCTATCTATCTATCTATCTATCTATCTGAGAAATTCCCTTATCTGTCTCTCTGTCTGACTATCTGTCTGTCTGCCTATCTATCTCTCTATCATGATTTTATATGATTCTTGTAAAATCCGAAACCTGCCAGGGTAGATATTCGTAATCATACACTGATCAATTTTTGTTGATATTACTTCTGCGAGATTAATCACTTGAAATTATCTATTATCTCCCAACTATCATTCGATCGTTTCGAACTCGACCGACAATTTTCGGGGCTCTCATTGATTTATCAAATTAAGGCAATCATATGCCCTCAGGATGCGTCCGAGTATAAACAAGACGCGCCAAGAAAGCTGATTGGCTGAACAGCTTCGTTTGATGATTCCCTAATAGAAGGCGCCAACGGCCAAGGGCACCATCTTTGTAATGGCGGGTAATCAGTTATCCGCACTGGCCTATCATTGTGTGTATTAATGTGCAATATCTATCTATGACTGTTCATATCTATCTATCTATCTATCTATCTATCTTGGTCCGTTCATATCTATATATCTGTATGTATGTATGTATGTATGTATGTATGTATGTATGTATGTATGTATGTATCTCTCTCTCTCTCTCTCTCTCTCTATCTATCTATCTAGCTATCTATGACTGTTCATATCTATCTATCTATCTATCTATCTATCTATCTATCTATCTATCTCGGTCCGTTCATATTTATATATCTGTAAGTATGTATGTATGTATGTATGTATGTATGTATGTATGCATCTATCTATCTATCTATCTATCTATCTATCTATCTATCTTGGTCCGTTCATATCTATATATCTGTATGTATGTATGTATGCATCTATATATCTGTATGTATGTATGTATGCATCTATCTATCTATCTATCTATCTATCTATCTATCTATCTATCTATCTATCTATCTATCTTGGTCCGTTCATATCTATATATCTGTATGTATGTATGTATGTATCTATCTATCTATGACTGTTCATATCTATCTATCTATCTATCTTGGTCCATTCATATTTATATATCTGTATGTATGTATGTATGCATCTATATATCTGTATGTATGTATGTATGTATGTATGTATGTATGTATCTATCTCTCTATCTATCTATCTTGGTCCGTTCATATCTATATATCTGTATGTATGTATGTATGTATGTATGTATCTATCTATCTATGACTGTTCATATCTATCTATCTATCTATCTATCTATCTATCTATCTATCTATCTATCTTGGTCCGTTCATATCTATATATCTGTATGTATGTATGTATGTATGTATGTATCTATCTATCTATCTATCTATCTATCTATCTATGACTGTTCATATCTATCTATCTATCTATCTATCTATGCGAATAAAGTTTGGATGATAATTCAAATGAATGCTAAATATAAAAGACAATTTGAAAAGTTATATTTTGACATATTTATATGTCGAATCGGCGTCATTAGAATTCTTTTAATTTCGACAACTACTACATTAACTATGCGAAACTCGATTCGCGTTAAACATGTATACTTGATTTTAACTTCAACTGTATTCTTTTAGAAATTACAGCTTAACTAAATTCAACTTCGTTTTTACATTTTGCAATCTTTTCACCCCACGCTAAGCCATAAAGCCACTAAGACGCAAAGGGTGTTACTGAGCGTTAGAGAATATGAGAAACATTACTAATAAGGCGAGATGACAATAACAGATCAAGAATTAAGAAGAGAGAAGATAACGATTGACATTGAACTTAAATTTTGAAAGATCAAAGTTGATTCACAAAAGAGAAACTGGAAGAGAGTTCCACAAGCGAGAAGTGCTAGAGAAGAAACTGTTAGCATAGAACTTACGGTTACATCTATCCATTTCAACTGTAAAATGAGGGGACCTTGCCGCCAATCTAGCGTTGCACTTCAATTTATAAAGTCTAGGTACCATAGGAATGCTTATCAGAACAATTACCATGGAGATATTTATAGAAAATGTACAGGAAAATTATATTACGGCAGGTAGAAAGTGATTAATTTTTTTCACTCAACAGCATCTTTCCAATAGACCAGTTGTGGCCAGACTTGTTTAATGTAAGAGCCATATACGATAAAGTTCAGGTGTTTGAGAGCGGCAAGATATGAACAAAACAATAGATAGATAGATATAAAA